GAAAGTGAGAGTGAGGGAAGTGAACCGGAAAAAGAGACTGAACTAGTGTAGAGGTAAAGTCAGGTGGAATGTTAATGGCCAATGGGATAAAGTAATTTTTTCTGACGAAAGCCAAGTTGTTTTGGTAGCAAATCAAAGGATTTTCATATGGCGTCGTTGGGATGAAGCCGAGTCGCCCGTGTGAATGTGCCCCCCAGCTCAACGAAAGGTCAGTTTTATGATTTGGGGGTGCATAACCTGGCAGGTTGTGGTAACTGAAACAACTGTAAACGGCACTATTAACAAGCACAAGTATATTGAAATCTTGGAAAATAATTTATGGCCCGTTATAGCACGACACTTCCTAATAAAAATTTCTTATTTGAAGATGACAATGCCCCTATACATAAAGCCAGGGATGATGAAAATTGTAAGGCTAGGAATAATATTAACTCTATCAGCTGGCCAGAACATTCCCGATTTGAATATAATCGAAAATGTATGATTGAAACTTAAAAAAACTATTGCAATGTCTTGCTATAAACAATTGGACTGCTGCCGAACTTTCACATGCAATAACACAGGAGTGGCGAGCCTTGCCGGTGGAATGGATGTGTATATACAGGGCCTCTACAGATCTTTCCCAGGGCGTATGAGAAAAGTAATAAGAGTGAAAGGAGAAATGACAAAATACTACACAGGTATGTCATTTTACTATGTTTATTTTCCATTTAATCAACCCCGTAACACAACGTAAACAAACGCAGTGAGGCCATTTTTGCCGGTGACTTATGGCACGTGTCTGTATATCATGTTGTTCTTGGTCCCCTACCGGTGAAAGAGGAGGGGACTAAAGGTTTCCTCTGCGTCTCTTCGTCCGTATGTCTGTCCGTCCGTCAGTCTAGCTGTCACTGTCTGTCTGTCAGACTGTCCTTCTTGGTGGTCCACCCTTTTTTTCTAAATGGTTGCAGATATTGAGCTGAACTTTGGAATGTGAGTGTATCTTAATAAGTTACAGATCAAGTTTAAATGTTGTTTTGATTTATTGATATTTGACAGAGTTACGGCATTTTGAATTTTTTATCATGGTTTATGATCGGGTTCGTGCAGCGCTTAATCCCGTTGGTCAACATGGTAAATATGAAGCGAGAAAAAGACATTGAAAAAATGAGATGAATTTTCTTCTTTATGTGGATTATTTTATTAGGTAAAAGCCGACTAGTTAAAGGTATTCACATACTCAAAATCAAGCAGTTTTACCTTGGTCATAACTTGGTTTTGCAAATCATAAAAGGACATCCTAAAGAAAAAGGAGAACCCGGTAGGGGACATGTATCGCTTACGCAATACTCTCATAGTGCTTGTTCATTATATATTAATCATTATTCTTTAAATTTTACTACTTTTTTTAATTTCAGTCTATAGTTTTATAGCATAAAAAGATAATACTTGTAGGAACATGTATATTTGACAAGTTTCATGCATGAAACAAATTAATTTTCCATAATAGTTGTGACTCTCCTCTTCAGTATTGAAGATTTCTCACATGAAACTTTTATATACCTGTAACATACATCGTGTCCTTTTAATGAAATATGTACGTATGATATCACAGGTGCAAATAATTACATCATTTTTATTTGTTTAAATTAAAAGGGTATCTTTGAGCTACAAACGTAGGTCATTAAATAATTTTTATATTTAAATGTTCGGAAAATATCCTTTATAAATGTTCCATAAATGAGATATAAAATTTAAATAGTCGCCGTAATAACCAATAACAACTATATTACAATAAAAAATAATTAAAGAACCGGTCTCTAACACGGTTAATCAGTTTATGAATCCTTGAAGGATCTTACTTTTGATTTTAGAAAAAAAAGAAGATATCAATTGAATTTTGTTAAGTGTTAAAAGCAACTATAGGATGAAATGTGACCAAAAAATTGCGGAAAAAAGATCCTTGAAACATATACCATGAACAGCTTATGATATTTAATTTTAGTTGGCATTGGTTGCAAAGGTTTTTATAGCAAAGTCTTCAAATTTACACTCTTTGTATTTCAATATGATCCTATTATTTGGGAAAAAAATCACATTTTCTTGGTTTTAACTGATGATCAATTTTTAAAGATGTTCGTGTGGACCTAACTTTTCAATTAAAAAAAGTTAAATCTTTAAATAGAGCATCGCTATGGAATAAGCAGAAAATATATGCTCATTTTTTTTTAAATATATTGCTTTCTTAGATACGTACACTTAATTGAAGATTTCCAAAACTTTTATGATAAGTATTTAATGGCTAACCTGACTTTTAATTCTAACTATCATTAAATCTCTAACTGGAAGCACAAAGCTGGTTCACAGAATTTTAAATTCTTTCAATTCCTTAAAAATCGAACATGTTCCCTTCTTTGTAACCGTAGCAACAATGTTGTTTTCCTCATCAAATTTTATCAATACTGTAAAACGAGAATATTTGGCACACTACTAATTTTAGCGCCTTTGGCGCAAGAGCCCTTGAACGCTAAAATTTATTGTGCGCTAACGGGTTTCTAAATATTATATTTTGTGTGTGTCCAAAGCTTTCACATAAGTAAATTTTATGTAAATCGGAACGCACGATTACGTAATACCGAGGTCGTTGAATTTTATATACACACTAGCACTGTACATGGTAGGATCTATCGGGGAAGTTCTGCCAAATTATAATTTAATTAAACTATTGTAACCACTGTAGTTATTACCAGTTACTTATCATTAGCACCTTCATAGTTTGGCGTCTCAGTGTGTCAATCATCTATCGACTCGCGGTAAACGATACAATCAAGCATGGCGACTGCTCTTGCAGACAATGCCTAATTATGATGACCGTGATAATTATCCAAGTAACTTTCTTTCGATACATGCATTGTTTTAATGTAAATAAAATGCGTAAATACTCTATTTCTTTTATTCAAAATAAAATTAAAATAAACATTAATGTGTGCCACGTCAATGCAATTGCAATACGGTGTTGAGGAGTGTTTACTGAATTGTGTTTCCGTGCTTGACAAACCAAACAGGCAAATACGAGTGTAGATAAAAAAAAAATCACATTTATATATTTTAATGACAAGTGCAAGCGCTAAAATTTATTAGCGCCAATGCATTCCTACTTGCGTTTGCGCTAAAATTCGTATGCGCCAAATTTTCTCGTTTTACAGTATATGACATTCACATTTAGTTCTACCCTATAAGTACCATTCAAGGTGAGTCATATAATATGTTTCTTGATTGAACGACAAGTAAATTCTTAATGCAGCAAAAATTATTTTAACAACAGATACTGGTATTTTCTATGTTACACTGCAAATAACCATTCATCCCAATTTTCTTGTGGTGTTTGTGCTGCAAGGTCCAAAGGATGCATATTTGCCAGTCTTATTAAATTTGCATCTTTCTTTCTAAAAGAAAGTAGCATTAACCGAATCTTAGTTACTGATTCTCCTTGGTTACATTATGTTGCCATGACAACCTTAAAAATATTTATTAAATAATATTGTTTATTCTTATAAATGTAAGGTCAAACATTTTCATTGTGTTTCTTAAGTTATTGATTGAGCTTGATCATGTTAATCTTATTATTAGTGGATACAGATGGATTAAGTTTAATAAAATCAGTGACAATGCGTGGCAACGAAGTATAATTGGTAACAGAGAATAGCTCCTTAAATGCATATGTCATTTGCTATCTGTAATGCAAAATCTTGCACAAACCGTTTACCTGCAATCAAGCATTTTTAACACAACTGAAAAGTAAATTGTATCTTTAATGTAATGTCAATGTCATTTTTCTACAACTTGCTAAAATCTCATGAAAATAAAAAAATCATATATATTTTCAAATATAATATCACGTTATAATTATTTACGCTTCAGAGACACGTGTACCATGCTATAAACTGCTTCCAAGGAAGAAGTTACATAATATTCCTATAACGTTAAGTGTATATTACTCCATAATTCAGTAAGTTGTGTGTTTTATCCACTTGTAAGGGTTAAAGGAAAAAACCACACAACCCTTTTCATTATAATCATTCCCAACTACAATTCATGGAAGTTCATATAATTATCACACTCAACGGTATAAGGATGACAATAAATGGTTGTTTAGAGTAAGAATAAAAATGGTTGCAGAAAAAAAATAATTATAATCATTGTAAGTTAAAAAATTCATTATGTCTTTGAAATTCATTATTTGCATCATTTACAAATAAAATAAGTGTGGAATATATTTTAATTCAAGCATCCATATTTGTTTGTATCGTTTGTCCATAATGTCAAATGAAATAACCAATAATATTCAATATCAACTTCCATTAAACAATACAAAATTGGAGCAGAGCAAACACGGACCTCCAAAGGGTCAGAGGTGACATCCTCCTTTGGAGGAGTGGGCACCCCCTGTGGGGCGGGGCGTAAGTATCCTCGTCTGATTTACATCACTTCTCGATAAAAGTACAATACTCCAGAAGTTCTCAATCACTTATGTTATTATTTTCGGAAGGAGTAAAGAAAGAGGAAAGAGAATGTACTGAAATTTGCCTTGTGTCTTCGTTTGTAAGGATTTTTATGAAGTTTTGGAATACACTATAGATTTGGTAATTCAAATCAATTCTGGTTGTTAGAAATATTAAAAATATTGAAATCTGACAAATGATTTTGAAGACTTTACTCCTTAGAAAGAGCGCTATGGGTATAAGTTAGATTCTTAGAGAATTAAATCCCAGTTCTTTTAGTATACATTTAATATACTGTGCCTTACACAAATAGAAAATGCTGTTACCTCGGCTGGTTTGTTACAGGTAGCATGGTAAATCATCATCTGACACTTTTATTTCAAAACAATATTTTATTCTTTTGAACTGTTGATATATAACGAACAAATATACACTTTTGAAGAAAGAACAAAAAATAATCAAACAAAATGAACATTTCCATGACTTTTTACATTCATATCTGAAAAAAAATTCTCATTATTTGTTTGACTCATTTCATATCTTTTACTATTTAGACTTTCGATTTCCTGATTTTCATATCGGCATACATCAAGGAATAATTATATCCTTTCCAATCAAACCAGTTCACACCGTCAGCAAATGATTTGTGCTCTCCTCTCAAGTAGAGACCGTTTAGGTTAGCTCGGTGACATCCTGTGTACCACCATCCACCTTTAAATCTATTTGCACACCTTTTCTCATTGTCATGATCCTTAGTGTAGAATCTGGCCTTAGTATGGGGATAAAATGAGTCGCCTAAATCAAAGGAAATTGATGAGATTAGAAATAAGATAAGGAATATAACATTACGCTGGTATCAAATAATGATAAACATAAAAAGGATGACGCAAGGAACATACCAGCATCTCCACTGTAACCCGAGACATTCAGAATGTATCCCGACTTCTCGCTTCCGACATTGAAGGTGCTGTAGCTTGCATATCGAGAATTTCCAGAGAAATCCTTCAAGTCGATTCGTAAAGTGTAATTCCCGGATGCTGTAATCGTGTGGATTTTCTCATTTCCTGTTAGAAAAAAAAATTAGCCCAAAATCAGACACATGTTAAGGATAGAAATAAATGCCGAGTGGATACCAAGAACGGAATAATACTTTTACATAAGTATAATACACATAAAAAAAACAAGTTTCGGTATTAAAGAGCTGCAAATCAATAAAACTGTATAATTATCATATTTAAAAAAAATAATCATAAACTTTTTTGGCATCAAATTTGATATATCCGAAACTGAACTTTAAGAAGCTGTTTTAAAATCAAAGTCAGCTAATTTTTAAATGAAAGACTTTTCAAAAGTATTGTCAGACTTTCCGCCACATTTTTACTTGCTTGTTTTCTGCAAGTATAGCATGTTCAAAACCCTAATGAATGTTAATTATGTGGAATTGCGTCTTTGGGTTACATTAAGACAGGAGTTAACGATATCGGAATGTGTTTCTTATGGAATTTTTACAATGTTCGCCATGTCTAATTGAAGTTCAGAGTAGAAATGGTTTAGATCGATTAGAAGCAAGCAAAGCTGAAAGCTGTAACTAGGCACTTAACGTATCCAAAAGAAGCGCATCTCGCCTTTAGGATAGCTATCGAGAACATGGATTAACTTTCGACCTTCCAAGGCTGATTAAAAGCACTTTCATAAAAAATAAAACAGCAACATCAACTGATTGAAAGCTTTCCAGAAGACGTACGTAGGATCTCCAACCGAACACTAAATAACCGAATATAAGATTCTGGCATCCGAACAAAATATCATTTGACATCTGTTGCTTGAATTAGAACGATAGTCAAAACAGAGTTTTATGATGAGTGTATGGAATTTGGCCAAAACAGTGTTGGAAGTGTTTTGTTTAGCGTAGAATCAATGTTTTGGTCCCCCGCATAGATGGACATCCGATTCAGACATAGATGTTTTGTTACTGCCTGGATCCAGGAAATCAACAGATTTGGAATTGGAATAGGAGTCTAGACTGCAATATCCCACAATGAAATAACAAGTCTTTACCATTTATATGAAAAGTCGAAGGCGGATTTTGCAGATGGATCCTTATAATGACCCCCACTTTGGTACCAAAAATACATATAAGTTTGTTTGCTAAGTCCTCTAATAAGTATTTGGAGTAATTATTTGGATTTTATTAATATTTCTCAATTCTTTTATTTTAGAAAATGTTCTTTTCACTCCTACAGAATTTTCTAGAAGAGGTTTGAGGTTATTAGAAAAAAGAAATATTTGATTCAATAAAATTGCAAAAACTTACTTTCCATCGATACGGTTTCCAAATATTTGTAAAAATATTTCCATAAAATGTAACAAATAAAATCATAATAACTACACCATACTTAACCTAGCCAAAACTCATTTGACAGATTTCCAAATCCAGTTTTGTAGTCATACAAGTTTCTGAAGAAATTTTCTGATCCGTCCTGCCTCCTTTGTACAACCTCCAATAGAAATATATGAAAAAAAGAAATTATGATTACAATGTACTTCTTTAATTCAAAGGTAATTTAAAAAAAAAACCTACTCTTACTTCTAACTGTTTAGAACCTTAAGAGATCAATCTGGTAGATGGAGAGAAGAAGCAACATAGTTTGAGATTGATTTATCGAGATATTCCATTTCAATCCATCATATTGTTGCATATTGTTGATCTCGGAAACATCAAAAGATGGATAGGATACTATGGGGGAGTGATAATACCCTGTTGATCGCTTACATCCGCCGTGACTGTATAATTCTTGTACGATTTATGGCTTGTTAAAACCAAACATATGTATCCGGAGATACTTAACAGGCTTCAACCAACAAGCGTATGGTTTTTTTTATGATATGATTAATAAAATCAATTTTACATTATGGAGAAGTTATGAATGAAATATAAATTTATTTAATTCATAAAAAAAATACAGATTATTATCCACCAATTTTAGAAGAAAAAAAGAAATTTCATCCTTTTACAACTGTGTCGTAGTTCTCTTAAAAATATTTATCGTTCTAATTCATTCTCTTGTTATTTTAGATAATTATTTCTTCTTTTAAATAATAATTAATTATATATAAATAAATATAAATAATATTTTTTAATACAAAAACAATCTGACGGACATTAAAATTTAATGAATCTTGCAATTTAGTTCTTTTAATTTTTTTTTTTTTGTTTTCGGAAAAAAAATAATGATATATTTGAAATCTCGAGTAGAAAATGATTTTATATTTTTTTCTCCTTTTTTGACAATATTCTCAGATATTTAGATAATGGGAGAAATTTTCATCAAAGGATGTTTCACTTAATTTTACTAATCATTGTTCAAACTTTTTCAAACCAAAACTATTCATAGCAACATTGTAGGTACAAAGAATTATTTTCAATTCACAAAGAATTATTTTGTAATTGTACTGTATGATAAAATGAAAAATAATAATAAACAAACAGGCGTCCTTTGTCATTTACATTTAATTTGTTCGACTCTAATAAAAAACCTAATATAAAATTACAAGTGATAAATACACATAACACACAAAACCAAATCACCAAAGCTTGTATGGAGTATGAATACCTGGACTATGCCGTTTTTGTTTAATCAAAGCGAAAAAAATTATGTCTGTTATACGATTAATTTGTATTTCTTTGCTGAAAAAATATAGCTGATCATTTTAGATTGAAAAAAGAAATTAAACTTTGATTATTGTGCATTATTTTTGTTTTCGGATTAAGCTGTTCCAAAGGCTGTTCTATCAATTGCAACTTACATGAAGGACAAGACGGGAATTTTAAATTGAAAAAAAAAATCAAACTTGTGGAAAATACAGAGGATACAAAATGTAAAAGTAAGCATTTCATTATCATTTTTTTAAAGATGCAGTCTCATAACTGCAATGATGAGTGCAAACAAATTGAGTAACGCGCGTTAGCAATTATATATGAGACTGCATCTTTAAAAAAATGATAATTTAATGTATCGTTAATTACCGTCCAGCCCCCACCGTCTGTCTTCTGGTCACAGAAAACTTCGAATCTAGACTCTTTCGTCGGAAAAATTGTGTACACCCTACTCTCCCCGTGACCTTGTAGCAAGAGGTCCTGACAATCTCTTGGATAAAATACGCCACACGTGTCTATAAAAATGTATGATTACACTGTGGTACATTTTATAATTCAAATGCTTGTTTCAATATGAATGATTGAATTGAAATTAAACAAAAATAATTTTAAAAGATTCAATAAGGGTAGCTGCCGAGATTTCCAATTTATGGATGCAACTAAATAAAAAAAAACTATTAAATCAATTATTCCGATGTGGGTGAAATTTGGCTAAACGTTTACATATGACATATAAGACGAATCATATACACTGTATATTTCTTCAAATTATACTCAATGAAAGACTCTTGAAACAGAAAAATAAGACAGGATTTTGATCTTGATTTAATTAACATAAATAGTGAAGTGTTCACACTTTAATTTATTGCGGTTCACGTAAGAAATGACTCTTTATAATAAATGTCAATATGAAAATAAAACAATTTTTTTTTACAAAAAATCTTTTTTTTTTATGATAAAGCGTATTTAGTCCTGTGCTTTGTGACCATGGTCAATCAATATTGTAATCATAGTGATATTTTGGTTTATTTCTCTTTTTTTTTTATTTGAACAAAAGTTTCACAACATATAAGATTTTTCTTTCAAATCACAAATTAAGACAAAATTAACTAAATTGACATTTAATGGAAAGTCTTAGAACTAAGGATTAAAAATAATTTAAAATACTTGTATTTAAAAAAAATATATTAATAATATGGCTTAATATGTGACCTAATTTTGCAAATTCATTGTCAACTTCCTTTGTAATAATAATAATAATAATAATAATAATAATAATAATAATAATAAAGCATTAATTTAATTTTTTTATTTTTTTTTTAAAGGGAATCATAAATTGCATATAAACGTGATTATTGAATTTTAACTTTAATAAGGAGATGCAAGATATGCAATCAAAAGTCAAATGAAAAAAAAAAATTCAGTTAACCTTCTCTACAGCTCTGTAAAAACCCACGCATTGACATCAATTCTTGTTTCATTGCTCTCATATCTTCTTTTTTTATTGCCCGCCTGGGGCAGGGGTTAAAGCGTCTGCTCTAGAGTCGCTATGTAAGGAGTTGATCCTTATGTCGCGGGTTAGAATCCCTCTGTGGGACGTGGAGACCTGTCCTTTTTATGAGACCCTATTAACCGAGGTCCCGTGTCGTAGAAGATGCTGGCACTAAGAAGACCCCCCCCCCCCCCCCGATCAATTGCCCTTACACTACTGAATTAAATATCCCCTTAGATTCCAAAAAATCCCCTGTTGTCCCCCTGTCAGTCCCTGACATTTTCCTGTCTCTCCCTGACGTTCTCCTATGATCCCCTGTCGTTGTCCCTGCTCTCCCAGTCCAGTCCCTGTCGTCCCCTGTCGTTGTCCCTGCCTTCCCTGTCTACTCCTTGTCGTCCCCTGACATTCTCTGCTCTCCCTGTCCAGTCCCTGTCATCCCCTGTCGTTGTCCCTGCTTTTACTGACTTGCCCCTGTCGTCCCCTGACATTTATTTTGGCCAAGAAAAGGAGTTTAGAATACATTTTTGTTGCATTTAAGAGTGAAAAATGATGTAGTTTTGAATTGAAAACTTCAAGTTTTTTTTTTTTTTTTTGAAAATATAGACTTTGTAAAAAATTAACACATTTTTAAATGCCTTGACAAAATCCCCTGTAATTTAGTTTCTATTACATATATCAATGTGATTTTTTTTAATTTTGGTAGCATTTCGGGGGGAGAACGGCAGAGAATAGCATCGATTCTAAACAAGAAATAGATTACCAATTTATTGCATCTTGTGATGCTAGACGGCATTTACATTGTACTTTATGAAGCTTTTATATATATTTATAAACTTTTTCATTTTTCATTTGATCCACTTTAAAACATCTTTGAGTGTAATAACTGTCTTTGTAAAAGAACTAGATTTGAACATTTAGGAATACATTATCAAATCTATGCATGGCATATTTTTTTCCCAAAGTATTAAATGAATAAAAAATTACTAGTAATTGAAAGGAATGATATATAAATGCATTAATAAAATAAATGTCTAAGTAATAAATAAAAATCATTAAATAAACTATTAATCTATTTTATTCATTTACTTTTTTTCGTGAATAAATCTACTAATCGACTGAATAAAGAATGAATGAATAAATAGATAAATAAATCAATAAATAATTAGAATTATATAAATTTATTTATTTTTTTTTTTAAATTTATCACTCATTTATATCCCCAAAATTTGATTTATTAGTTTTATTTTATTAATTTGATGAAATATGCTACAAAGTATTTTCTTAGCGTATTGAAACGACTTTTTATTACCTTAAGTCCATGATGGATATCAAAATAATCGTCTCATTATGCACAATATCAATCTGTCAATTAGATTTTTGATACATTGATTTGATTAAAAAATCGGTTTTCAAAACCCTAACACGGTTCTGAAAGAACATCAAAGCTATTGATGTTTACCAGTAATTAACTCGGGGTACACGGTCATGACACTGATTATCTTTTTCACTGACCGCTATACCTTGTTTTTTGTTGTGGCAGGACTAACGTGTGTAGTTTGCAGCTGTTTGAAATAACATTTTCTCTTTGAAAAATACTTTTATTTTGTTTTGATTGAAAAAATCAGTTCTCATACAAAGAGAAAATGTTATTTCAAACGTGTACATACGGTCGTCCTGCCACAACATAAACAAGGTATAGCGGTCGCTGAAAAAGATAATAGGTGTCATGACTGTGTACCCCGAGTTAATTACTGGTAAACATCAATGGCTTTGATGTTCTTTCAGAACCGTGTTAGGGTTTTGAAAACCGATTTTTTCAATCAAAACAAAGAATCAAAAATTTAATTGACAGATTAATATTGTACATAACATGCATAATGAGACGATTATTTTGATATCCATCATGGACTTAAAATAATAAAAAATCGTTTTAATATGCTAATAAAATACTTTGTAGCACATCTAAGGAACGTCTAAGCAACAGTTTATGTAAAATACCCCCCCCCCCCCCCCAAAAAAAAAACACAAAAAAAAACCAACAACAACAACAACAAACACCAAACAAACAAAAAACAAACAAACAAACAAAAAAAGCAATAACAAAAAGCCACAATTTCCTGCGGATATAAATGATTTACCAATTTTTTGTATTTTCAGTTTTAAAAATAAATGAATAAATAGATTGATACTTTGATAATAATTTATTTTTTCATTTATTCTATTTTATTTATTTACTATGTAATTATTTTGATGTAATTTGTTTTATTCATTAATCAATGGAGTGACTTTGTACCTTTTGTAAAAAGAAAAACAAAAAGAAAAGACAGCAGGGATAATGGCGCATTTTGGAAAATTTTAGTTTTTAAAATCAATGTAATAATGGATTTTAAATAGTTAATAAATAAAAAAATTAATAAACTAATTAACTGCATGTATTTAATCATTGCTAAAACAATCTTTTTATTTTTAAAATTGAACATACAAATTTAATAATTATATACCCGAAAATAGGATTTGTTTGGCTTATTCTATGTAAACTAATTTACGATATATATGTACCAAAGTATTTTAAAGAATACTTAAACTACTTCTAATTATTTTACTTCCATGATGGATATCAAAATAATCGTCTCATTATGCACAATCTTTACCCGTCAATAGTTTCTTTGATACTTTTATTTTGTTTTGATTGAAAAAAAAAAACAGTTCTTATTCAAAGAGAAAATGTTATTTTAAACAGCTGCAAACTACACACGGTAGTCCTGCCACAACAAAAAACAAGGTATAGCGGTCAGTGTAAAAGATAATAAGTGTCATGACCGTGTACCCCGAGTTAATTACTGGTAAACATCAATGGCTTTGATGTTCTTTCAGAACCGTGTTAGGGTTTTGAAAACCGATTTTTTAATCAAATCAATGTATCAAAAATCTAATTGACAGATTGATATTGTGCATAATGAGACGATTATTTTGATATCCATCATGGACTTAAGGTAATAAAAAGTCGTTTCAATATGCTAAGAAAATACTTTGTAGCATATTTCAGCAAATTAATAAAATAAAACTAATAAATCAAATTTTGGGGATATAAATGAGTGATAAGTTTAAAAAATAAAGAAATAAATGAATAAATTTATGTAATTCTCATTATTTATTTATTTATTTATTTATCTATTTATTCATTCATTCTTTATTCAGTCGATTTGTAGATTTATTTACGTAAGAAAATAAATGAATAAAATAGATTAATAGTTTATTTAATGATTTTTATTTATTACTTAGACATTTATTTTATTAATGCATTTATATATCATTCCTTTCAATTACTAGTAATTTTTTATTCATTTAATTCTTTGGGAAAAAAATATGCCATGCATAGATTTGAAAATGTATTCCTAAATGTTCAAATCTAGTTCTTTTACGAAGACAGTTATTACGCTCAAAGATGTTTCAAAGTGGATCAAATGAAAAATGAAAAAGTTTATAAATATATATAAAAGCTTCATAAAGTACAATGTAAATGCCGTCTAGCATCACAAGATGCAATAAATTGGTCATTTAATTCTTGTTTAGAATCGATGCTATTCTCTGCCGTTCTCCCCCCGAAATGCTACCAAAATTAAAAAAAATCACATTGATATATGTACTAGAAACTAAATTACAGGGGATTTTGTCAAGGCATTTAAAAATGTGTTAACTTTTTACAAAGTCTATATTTTCAATAAAAAAACTTTAAACTTTTCAATTCAATGCTATATCATTTTTCAATCTTAAATGCAACAAAATATATTTTAAACTCCTTTTCTTGGCCAAAATAAATGTCAGGGGACGACAGGGGCAAGTCAGTAAAAGCAGGGACAACGACAGGGGACGACAGGGACTGGACAGGGAGAGCAGAGAATGTCAGGGGACGACAGGGAGTAGACAGGGAAGGCAGGGACAACGACAGGGGACGACAGGGACTGGACAGGGAGAGCAGGGACAACGACATGGGATCATAGGAAAAAGTCAGGGAGAGACAGGAAAATGTCAGGGACTGACAGGGGGACAACAGGGGATTTTTTGGAATCTAAGGGGATATTTAATTCAGTAGTGTTAGTGCTGAGTAAAGGACAAAAATTTCAGCTCTACGCCAGCAAGTGATGGCGTCTTTATATGAGTGAAAAATTCGAGAGAGACGTTAAAGGATATAAAATCAATCTTTTATAGCCCATTCTATGTAATTTACCGTTTCTTGATTCCCTCAAATTGTTACATTTTAATTTTAAGTACCTTGTAGTTGTTTTACAAGTTGTGAGGCAAGTGAAAGGGACTTCTTTTCAGTCACACATGGATCCGTTTGTTCAGGTATATTTGCGGTTGTCAATACGAAGAAAAGTGCAAGTAGTACGATGCTAATTTTGTTGCTCATCATCTGTGATCTAGTTTACAATCAAAATCAATTAAGGAATGCTTTTACGTTTTGTGTGAGTTATTGGTGTGTCAATCACACAGATTTCTCACGTGGGCATATTTCATGAAGCGCGCTAGCGTTTTTCATAAAACGATGAAAAATTGTAGTGTTACTTTGTTGACGAATACTTGCAAAGTTTATAGATGGTTTTTTTTTAGCTGAACACCTCTTATGTATTTTGAATCTTGCAAAAGAAAATCAATAAACGAATTAGTTGACAATTTTATTACATAATGTAAAGAATGAAATCAAAAACAAAATTTTGAATTTTCCACTTACCTTTGATACGTTAGTTTGTTCTCTATAGCAAGTACGATGTATATGCATGAAGTTCAATTATACCGCTTGTTTTATTCCATTATTCTATAATAATCGTAACTCTTTTAATACAAATATGCATCATCTTTGTTGCACGTGATGAAAAACCGTGACTTGTTTCTCAAACTACCTCAAGCTTAATTTCTATCCTTCCTGACTCCAGCTGCTGGCTTCTAGTTGATCACTGGAACACATGTACCTCTGAGCTATGACATTGACTGATATCAACACACTTATCAATATAGTGACATTCTGCATACATTACGTCTTAGAGATAACGAACAGCATTCAAGCTCAAAAGTCCATCAAACAATAAGAAGTTTGAAGCAAAGTGAACGAACAGGAGCCTCTTTAGCATTAGTAAGAAAAGTTGCCATTGCAGAGTGACCACCACATAATGCCCGGTGACAACAACTGTGTGCTCTTTGTCATAATCGGAAATAATGGGAATTCTTTCAAAAATTAAGAATTTAAATACTGTAAAATAACATATTTTCTTGTGGTCAGATTTTGGAGGTTTGGGGAAATAATATTGTTCTGTGCGGATTTAATATTGCTGTTGAAAAATACTTAAAAATAATACATGAAAATTTGACATTTCGTGGTGGTCATAAATTTGTGGGTCTCTCCACACCTCTAAAACAAAGAGAATTCAACCCTCACGAAATTTACTGATTTCACACTAATGGCCTTACGATCAACAACGACTCAAGCATAGGTTTTCGAGCGTAATTTGCAGGTGCTCAAACCACTGAACTTTTAAGATTTAATATCTATGATTTAAATATTTACATTCAGTTCTCTACAGTGAATTGCCTATGCTTCCACAGTTATGTTGCGGCTTTTCAATTAATTTTTTTTTATATACAGGAAACGTAAACGTTGTTGGTTGGTCTGTTTCAGATTGAAATGTCTAAAATCACTTTTTGGTTCGATAAGTATTCGATATGTTCATAAAATGAATTTCTAATCAAAAACTATGTATACTCAAACTTATAATACAGTGTGACATGACAGCAGGATTTGAATGTTTTGAAAATTTATAACCATAAAAACAAATAAGTTAATGAGATCAACGTAAAAATAAACTGAGAAGAACATGCAATATAAAAAGAATTCAATTCAAGTTCACATACCACGAAAAGAATGAAAATTATGTAGCAACAGTTGTATCTCAAATTATTCTACAGCGTCCAGACCCAATAGATTTTTCCTTTATAAGGATTGATTGTATTGTTTTTAGTCCCATTCACTTTTTTTTTTGTTTATATAGAGACGTCACCATATACTGGGCTTAAAATTCTTACCTTTAAAAAGATGTACCTGGCACTCAGGGCAATTGAGCTGTGACGGATTTGAATAGTGTCATGTCATTTCTCTCTAAAACTTTTTTTCTTTCCAAGGTTATTTCTCCCTCCTACCATTTAACGGTAGGTCATTTCTCTCTCTAGGTCATTTTACCCGATTAATCTAGTCTGATATAATTATTTACAATTCCATTCTTGTGTTACTAACTTTTATCTTGTCAAATAAATTAATTTTATCGATTTATCAGTCGAGTTTGATCAGCCTCTACTGGCAAGGAAACCTTGCCTTGTATGGAACCCGTCCTCCCATACCATTTTGGAATCCATATTTTTTTATTGTGCAAACCATTCAAGTAAGGAAACTAAATGAACCAAGCAGATCCTTTTGAAAATAACATTCATTTCCTAAGTAGACATGGAAACCGAAATAAATAATGTGATTCGATAATAAAAAAAAAAGACACCCACCACCACCTCCCTCATTCAGAATTAAATTTTCGTCCTGTTAGTGGCTTTCATAATTTCTATCGGACAAGCTGGCATACAATGTCAAGATCTGACTCTAACTCCATTAATTAAATTCTTTCAAGTCATCCCAAGGTCAATGACCTTTTGACCTTGACTGTGTTCTATATGCTAAAAATAGTTTTTTTTAACTCTGTTGCCGCCGGGCGCATAATGTTTCACAAACACATCTCGTTTTATATAAGAAACTGATAGTTATATCAATTATTAAATTATATAAATGTATAAATGATTAAAGAATATGATTTTGTATCAATTTTGAAGCAGTATAGAAATAAATATCTTTTGAGCCAACGATGTTTTTGTTGTTACGTTCGAGAATGTAGAATCTAGAATACTTTACATAATAATCATAGACCCATAAACTTGCAATATCATTCGGAACTGCGAATGGGAAGACAAAAATACATGAGTGCTCCATCATGACAAGGAACACACGGCGGGTCTTACCGGTCAGCAGTGGATGCTCACTCCTCCATGGCACCATCTCGGATGTTTCTGAGGGCCGTGTTTGCTTTGCTCCTACTTTATTTTGTTTTAAAGACTTTGATATTGAATATCGCTTGTTATTTCCATATCCCTCTTGCATAGATATACTGTGTTTTGTTTTATAGACTTTGATATTGAATACTGTTCGTTATCTCCATATTGTTCTTCCATGGATATGTCTACTCTTTTTTTATTTTTCAAATTCTTAAGACACTCTACCGTTACTTCATTGGATTATGGTACTTTTTTATTTCATGATGCTGAAAAATCAATAAGTTTCTTTTTAAATCAAAGTAGCAGCCCTTATACGAAATGCCATTAGATTGCCATGACTGTATCACAAGTGCTGGTAGTGTCGAAATTCGCCCATCAAGAAAGGAAAAAAATCTTTTGAATTAAAACTTAAACATAAACAAATTAGTAAAAACCAATGACAATACCTTACAGAACTTTCAAGATTAGATGACAACAAAAGATATCACTGATAACTTTGAAAACAAGAGGCCTTGGGGCCACATCGATCACCTGAGCAACTGGCTAGTTAAAAGCAAAACTAAATATAAAAAGTATTGAAAAGTTTAACCATAAAAGTGGGTTCAGGGGAGAGGGGGGTATTTGAACAATCTATAAATTATACTCCCTATGGATGCTCTTAAATTATTATGATGCATAATAGTTTTTCTGTTAATAAGATAAGAAGAATAATTAAATTTATATCACCTTTATATTCCTTTGTATAACTATGACCCGCTTTAATGGCTTTTCTTTTTTCCTGGTTGGTCATTATTTGAACAAACTTAAATCTACATTAACTTTTTCATGCTTCTATATTGATGATAAATCATGGCTTTACTGTTCTTGTGCAAAATTTTTAAATAAATTCATATATATTCCTACATAAAACCTTGATCACCCATTGTGACCCCAGGGTCATGATTTGAACAAACGTAAATATACACTACCCAAGGAGGCTTCCATATAACTCATAAATATGAACAATAGCTTTGCTATTACCAAGAAGAATTTTAATGATTTTTTCTATGAAATACTTCTTAAAATTTTGATCAACCATTATGGCTCTAACCTTGCCCCAGGGGTCATAATTTTGACAAACTTGAATTAACACTACAATTAAGAGGATGCCTTAATATAACTATGAACAATCATCGATTTGCTGTTATTGAGAAGAGGATTTGTCAAAAAACGCATATGTATTCCTTTGATCCCTTATTGTGGCCACAGCAACTAACTTGGGTCTTCATTTGAAAAAAAGCTTGATTTTTTTTATTGATACAAAATCTTATTCACACAAAGTGAATGGGATCGGGCAGCAGGCAAAGCTTATTTTAGCCCTCTCCCTACAAGGTCAAATATATAGATTTGAAATAAATAGACAAACATAGTGAAAGAGAAACAAGAATGTAAATCAAAACGTTTGGTTGCTGCGATGTAAGCATGTACTGCTTCAATTTTTTAAATATTAAAACTTAGTCCATGATTAGGACTGCCATACAAAAACGAAAAAAAAAATTGAATCTACACTACCTGAGGATACTTTCATTTAACTATGACAATTCATGACTTTGCTGTTCTTAAGAAGAGGATTGTCAAAGACTTTTACAATGTAGTCCTATTTTAAACTTTGATACCCCCTTGTGGCCCCTGGGGGTCATGATGTGTACAAACTTAAATCTAAACTACCCGGGATGCTCCCACATGAATTTCATCTTTTCTGGTCGCGAGGTTCTTGAGAAGATTTTTAAAGAATTTTCATTTCTAGTCCTATGTTAAATTTTGATCCCCAATTGTTCCCCACCCTACCCCCGTGGGTCATGACTTGAACAAACTCAATTCTACACTACCTGAGGATGCTCTCACATGAGATTTATCTTTTCTGGCTTAGTGGTTCTTGAGAAGATTTTTAAAAGATGTCATTAAATTTTCACTAATTCAGACGTTTGAAGAGGGCATGGCCCTTTATTTGAACCAAATCTAATCCCCTTAACCCAAGGATATTTTGTGGCAAGTTGGGCTGAAATTGACCCAGTGGTTCTTGAGAAGAAGATGGAAATGTGAAAAGTTTACAACGAGGACGCCAACAACGACAACGACGACAGACAACAGACAACGGACAGTTTTTGATCAGAAAAGCTCATTTGAGCCTTTGCTCTGGTGATCTTAAATCACTCAAAATGCGATGGATAGTCGACATTTTATTAAAGGCGTCAAAATTTTGAATTGGAATATGTTGAATTCAATCACCTTGAACATCATTCCTTGCAGACCCGTTATACTACAGGGGGAGGGGGTACGTCTCGTCGTCTA